TTTAAATCTTCGTAAGTTTTGTGCTTCAGGAAAATCACACAAGTCATGTTCAACATTCACAACTTTTCAGTAGTTGAGTACTGGGGGTTAAAAAAATCAATATTAATTTAGGAGAAATATGGTTCAAAATATATTTTAATTACAGTCCCAATAATTTAATACAGACATCTGAAACTTCAAGTTATGATCAAGTTTAGATCTTGGGAAGAATAAATATTTAATATTGTATTTACAAAGCATCAAATAATTCAAACATATTATGTACCTGATGCAGCATAACTTGAAAGAAATTTTATGCATGGCAAGCCTGTTTTTACCATTTTCATGAGAAATCCCAACAGACGTATTTTACAGAAGGAAGCAAGTAATAATAATTTTACTTCTCAGACTAGTGACAAAGAATTATTTTTAATACAAATTTTAATACGTCATAATTTCAATACTTGAAGCCATGTTATATATGGTTTTATTTCTCTACACTGCTGTGTAAGAAATAACACTTTTTTGATCCAATATAAAGTAGTTTTCCTCTTTTACCAAACATAAATCTTGGATAAATATCATAATCTGTGATAACCCCATTGAAATACTAATCTGATTTGTAAATATTTCTGCCCTAAACACTTCAAAAATTATGTGGTGTAGGAACACCTTTTATCAACATTTATCCTATTACATTATGAATCTTAAAAATGAATTAACTGAATCTCCTCTTTTCAGCTCTCTACAGGAACTGGTAATCCAACTCTAATGACCTCCAAATAACATTACGTTTTTGTGAATTGTAATCTAGAAAGCTCTGGCAACAACAGTCATTGTTTGTCAGTAAACATCACTGACCACCACTTATGCCTGTAAATATGTTTTAAATGCTGTCAAGCAGTGAATAAGTTATATCTTTTCATTAAGAAGTTATAATCTCAACTACCTGTAAATATCTTTGGTGAACAATCATACAGGTTTAACAATACACTCAATATAAAAAGCTTTGTAAGTACAAATATGAATTGGAATGTATGTATGCATGTATGTACAGGTAGTAAATTCTCTGCTTTCCCACATCCACAGCTTCCTATTACACATAATTGAACTTCCAGAAAATTATGACTGTCAAAGTGTGATGATAAATGTGTTACAAACTTCTCCACAAAACTCCATAACTTCGTATGAAACATTTGAAATTGCATTAATTTCAGATGTGCATAATCATAGTTCATGTCAAACCAGATCACTGAATAAGCAAAATAAAATATAAAATTTCTGGTTAAAAAAAAATCAAATATTAATTTAAAAACTGGTTTCAATTTCAATTTTATTGGATGGTTTCCATATAACTAAGAAATGTGTTATTTTAAGTAAAGTTATGACTTATTATGAAATAATGTATGTATCTTCATCACAGTATTTGTAGTAGGCTATTACAAAGCAAGTAACTCCAAAATGAGGTTAATCCAAAGTAAATAATATGAAGTTAATAATGATACTTTTCATTGCCTTCATTCGTAATTTCTAATGGTACAAAATAAAGCATATTAAGGCAATTTTTGTAACTAAGATCACACAAATCAAGACCATAGTGAACAAATTTTCAATAAAAAAGTAATAACCACATTGGTATTGCTATAACACTTTGCCACTAATTTACACAATCACTCAAAGGACAATTTTTTGATGCAACGTATGTATACAATTTATCATCCCAAATTTATACCTACTCTTTAAGAAAATGCATCAAATATTTTTAAGTCAAGTTCACTCATGAGTTAATAAAGAAAATGTATCTATAGTATTTTCTATGGACCCAGCAAAAATAATTTTGAACTCCCATTTGAATTCATTATAATGAAATAATACATTGAAATACAAATTGGTTATAATCAAGAAATTTGGTTCACTCAAAACAAAATGAAAATCAGTTTTCCTTTCTCTCGGTCCCCTCCAATATTATTAATATTTGGAGGCAAAGTTCTTAAATGTTACAAATGTAAGCATAGTAAAAAGTGATGTAATGTTGTAAATATATTCTTTGTACAGAATGGCGAAAGCAGATTAAAATCTCATTATTGTTACTACCCTAAATTTCAGAAAAACATTTAGTTCTTAAACAAATAATGAAAACATTACAAAATATTGAAAATTCATTATTATCAATGGTGTGTGAACCTCATATTTCAACATTCTAGTAGTTCATTACTACTAAATGTTGGACATTTTTTAAATTTAATGTATCAGATGAAATTAATTTTTCACAATTTCAGACATATTGGCACTAAAATAAATCCTATAGCAATAATTTGTATGTTTTATTGCTCTCCCGTGAGATCTGATTTGACTCACAAGGCTGTAGTTCAACATAATTGATATGCACAACTCATAATAGTAGGCAAATAAGAATTTTAGTATGAATTTTTCTTGGTAATTATCTCAATCGTTAAGAGAATTGTTTTTACTCCTATTTTTCTTACTTTCTAGAACCTCATAAAATTTCAGATCAGACTTACTTTGATGTTTCCAATTTATAAGCAAAAAATATAACAAAATACATTCCACAAGCACATCAATTTATATTATTTCTTGCATAATGTGATCCATCTACACAAAACAAAATCACACTAACCATGTATTACTAGTATATAGTTTCATTTGATAAGCAATAATGCTTTGGAATGTTCAAGTTGACTGACAATTTCCAAAACATGGTGGGATTTATTTAACCTCCTTGATTCACAATCTTCATTTATCATAGAAATAACTCGTTTATTTGATTGAGCTTTTTATTAAAATATTGTGTTACATGATTTTACAAAGGATGTCTTTGAAATAAACTATATAAAGTGTACCCACCAGATTATTTTCTTTCACAGTAACTTGTAGAGAATAAATATCTTTATAATTTCCTACAAAATAGGGATATGAACATCTACACATTTCTTTGTTTTATTTTGAGTCCATCTCATTTTGTACAAGTAACCTTCCTTTACTTTCACATTTCTTAATTGTATCTTTAATTTTATTCTTACAAGCAACAATACATTCCTGTTATAGGACAAAAAAATCTCGTCATCACATTACCTACATTTGGATGATAGGGTCAGATTTTAGAATGAATCATAACTTCCCTTCAATATCAACTGAAATTAAAATTTATCCTTTGACACAATTTCATTCACACATGCTTGTATACACATTCAGACTTTCAAACCGAACCAGTGTACTGATGATTAAACTTCAATATTTCATGATCCCTGGTTTCTAAAATAGCTGAAATTGTATATCAAAAACACATCTCATACACATTTTGTCAGGGTGGCCACTCATTTCCCGCAACAAATTTCTCCAACTATGCCCAGTTTTCCAATTCATTTTAATTTATACTTTTTCCTGATAAAAATTGTAATCTCACACTAAAACAAATATAAAAAGCAGCCTGATATTAATTGGTCTGCTCTCTGGTTTTACCGTGTCAAAGTACAACACACAAGTTAACAATATTTTCTCAACAAATAAACACTTCAAAAAATAACACTATATTAAAGTTTTAAGGAATTTCAAATGATCTAGTTGTATAACCCTCACAAAAATTTTCCCGACTTAAAACGATTCTTCTGCAAATTCCTTCACGTTTCCCTGACTTTTCCAGATCAACGAAATGCCCTGATTTTTCCTGGTTTTGCAGAAAGTGGCCACTCTGATCTTCACAACACTTACATGAATAACTGAAGAACGAAAACTAATTCTTCCTCTCAATATTCAATTAAAAGCAATAAAAGTAATATAAAAAAAACAGACTCCAAGAAACAATTAATAAGTACCAGGAAGATTATGTTTGATAATTAAATTTCAGGAACTTTGTACTGCATGTATGGCAAATTCATGTGTATACAAGATTTTAATCACAGGACCAAACATGCTTCAGTAATCAAATGGGCATCCACACAGTTGGATAAAAATGAAACAACAAAAATTTATGATTAATTTTTGACATTGGTTCTATCTCTCTCGCAAATACAGCCTTCAAATTTTAGAAATGACTCTTACAGAAATGAAACACACTGAAAATAATAGATCCCTTCTCCTTCATTAATTAGCAGAAATTATTATAGAAAGAAATGACATGAAAAAAATATGGGTTGGAAAATAAATTCACTATTGTGCAATAATATAAGATTTACTAGAAAATTGGATAAAATGTATAAAATTAAATTTAATTCTTCAAAATCTCTTTAATATTCATTTTCTAACTCAGATCACAAATAGTTACAAGACGAGAAAACACTATTTTTTGGTTTTGCTCTTAATAAAGAATTTTGGAAAGGAAAAGAGGTTCAGACTTTTTCAAAATTTACCTAGTAAAAAAATTGACAAAAAGTGGAATCTAGGCATATTAAGTGACAACTTAGAAATATAAATCATCTATCGTAAATAATAACAGCAATAAATAAACTTTGCTGCAAGGCTATAATTATAAAAAAAGGGCAAGTTACTGAAAATCACGCAGATCACTGCAAGTAAAAATGCAAAGCATTTCTCTGAACAAACAGATAGGATTATGTCAATGATGCGTACAATTGGTGGGTGCACTTTTTCATAATCATCTGATTCTGTAATTGAACAGTATTATCCTTAATTCACATTAAAATTATACGATCTGATTTCATATTTTTACAAAAAATAATTTTCCATAAGTGACATTAATTACTATTAAATTATTTTTTCCCATTTAAATTCCAGTTCCACAAATGGAACAAAGAATGGGAAGAGGCTATGCCTACCCACACGAAACACTAAGTACTCTGGTTGATAAGATAAGGAGGTTGCATGGAGAGGTTAACATTCTGGTATTTAATTCCAATACTGCTAACCATTATGAAAATACAAATTACTCTAATTGTTACTTGAATATTATTTTGAATTGTGAATCAATTAAATAGGAGATTTACGGACAATTATTTATCCTCTTCTTTTACATTATGACTAACAGCATTTCTGATAAACTATTCATGAAAACATTCTAGACCATAATTCCCAAAAAGTTAAATTGATCAACAGTTTTAAGAATTAAGTTAGTACCAGGTAAGGGTAATTAAATATATGCAAGTACTTCGTTTATTTGTTTTTTTAGAGAATGCTGATTTTTCTACCAGTACAAGACCAGAAGGCACCCGAACTTCTCTGATTCATTCTATATAGGCAACCCCCTCTGATTTTGTTGATTTTCTATTTTTGCCAAAGCAAAGTAAGGCTGTGAATAAATTTGTACTATAAGTAAATCAAATAAAGTTTGTAATTCTGCTTTGGAAATATAAAGGACAATGCCAAAAACAACACAGTCCAGTAAAATTAATCCACAAATATCCCATTTATAGGAGAATAATTCGTCTAAAAATGATAATTTGTTTTTTGGCTATACTTGTAATACGCAAAATTTAACAGCAGAGCAACAGGACAAATTGGTCTTGTATTAAACACCGTTGAGTGAAATGAGTTAATGTTGCCTGTTTCTTTTAGGTTCAGTTTTACCCATGCCATATACCTCTGAAAATTGAATGTTTATTAACGTTCATCATCAACACTGGACTCAATGGGTAGTACTTCTGATATTCGGATATGTTATTCCAAACACAAGATTTTTCTTTTTAAATTTTGATCCTCTTTCAAAACACAGTATTATATCTAGTACTACTATGACACAAAAGGCATACAAAAAAAACGTAGTTCTGCACTGCTTTTAAGTCTATTTTAACCATTGTCTGCTGAGAATATTATCTAGATTACCTTTTACATAAAATTAGGTTCATTATCTAAATTGAGTTGTGCAGCTTCTTAAAAAAATTCCACTTTATAAAACACAAGTTCACCAGGAATGAAATCATGAATTTGGATCACATACCGTAATCAAACAATACTATAACAATATTAACATTATCAAACCTTCGAATTAATGATAAAATAGTTATACCTCAACAACTCTTGAAAAGAAAAAAAAAAAAGCTGCACTAAACGTAGCAGAGGGAAAAGTTCTCTCTCCTTGCAACCTCACTTCTCCCCTGAGGAGCCATAACTTCATGTCTCCACCAGAATGGTCAAAAGCGAACATAAGACCTTACACAACTCTACAAATCTTGTGTATTTAAGGTTACGAAATCTTTCATTAAACTGCGTAGCAGAAACCGCTACTGACAGTTGCTCTGTTCGCAGATATTTTATCGTATGATGCCTCTGTTACTAAAGCATAATTACTGCACATGGTGAACAGAGTGCCATTCACTAAAAAACGTTTTCATTGAAAACAGGCATACATCTCTTAACACCCCCTTTCTGTAGATACAAATTCAATAGCTCATGTCCACTAACATATAAAAAGACATGAAATAGCTGAAAGTAAAGGTATGTCACTTTCAACGAAAGATAAATTGTGAAAAAATTGATCTGCTCTGTCATAATTTACAAGAAGTGCTGCAAACATGTACAAAACATTTAAATACAATTTCAAGGATAACATTCTTGCTTAAATCAGTGAGCGAATCAGCTTTTGCAGTCATACTCCCTGAAGGCAACTATTCTTTTGCCCAGGGAGTAGCAGAGGGCACCTTTGCAACACCACCTGAGGTAAGCCCATCCCTCAGCAGCCTTTTCATGGTTACTGAGCTATAACACTAATAATTTACGTAGGTCACCACATGGATTTAGATGTATATATGCACTGTAACTTAAATCATACATTTTAACATCTAAATAAGATCTAGCATTTTTATTCACTAAAACACGATTCTTACAATATCCTCACAAGCCTCAAAAGGCAAAAAATGTATCTTGTACTTGAAATTGATTTACTAATGGGAAAGGAAAAAGAAACTTAGGGAAGGGCAGTAAATCAACAGTATTTAAAAAGACCAGTCAACACAATCTATTACTAAATATGAACACATTCAATATATACAGGATAAAAATGAATTTATCCAATATTTTTGTCTTCATGGTAATGCGCTTAGAAATCAGCTTTGAAGTACTGTGAAATATAATACAGAATGATATTGAAAAACCTATGTAGATAGTATGCAAATAAGTTTAACTCAAGATAGCTTTCATATCAGGAAGATTCTTTGGGTTTTTTTTATTATGCTTCAAGTTATAAACAGTAATGTACCGTTATTGTTGCCAGAGCATAAACTGGTAAACCCATGTATTGCCACCGGATGACTGCAGAAAAATCATGCAGTCGAAGTTAGAAACAAGAAGAGAGCTGGAGGATTCCCAAGAGGAAAAAGGAAAGGAGATTTGTTTTCCACTATGTTTCCATGCAGACTATCAAACTGGTTGTGTCTTGTCAGTCTCCTTGCCTTTCATGATGGCACGGATATCATCCGCATCCAAGGTCTCGTATTTCAGCAATGCTTCTGCTAGCATTTTATGTTCCTTCTGATGAGTACGCAAGATCGTTTTAGCACGTTCATATGATTCCTGTAGCACATCGTAACGTTAATTATTAGCACAGTAAAGATCAATTTCACACTGCATTAATCATAACACTACAAAAGCAAAAAAGTTTGTTTCAACTTAACATGCTACTATGGCTCAAATTTTACGATCCACAAAGCATTATGTGCAGTCATCAAGTATAAGAACAAATGAAGAACTTGAAACAGTAACAAGATAAGAACATGAGCCTCAGGAAGTCTTCTATTGTAAATTTTCACATCTTAATTTTGGCCAATGTGAGGCTTATCTTGTGACTACTCCAATCCCTTCATATAAATGAACCCAACATATATAGAAAGAACATAAGCTCCACTTTGATCAAAATAGAAATATTAATATTTACAAATAGCAGAAGTCTTCCTGTAGATGGTGTGACGTATTCAATAACAGTCCCAAGTTTTTGCGATGAAATAAAAATGAGATATCTTAGGTTCTGTTACATGTCACAGTCTAAACAACATGGTGACGTGCCATAGTGCAAATAGTCAATTTTTCCATGAAGATGACACTTTGTATTGATATCAATGGAGAGTGAAGATGAAACAAATAATGACTCAAAACTGAAGCATTTTTATGATTGAAAAAAAATTGTATATATTTTCCGAGGGAAATGATTGTTTCTTTCACAATTCCCATTGCTTCTAATACTGACCTTTCAGTCTTGGCAAAGATCCTCTCAATCTTGATAGTGTGAAAACAACCATTTGACACAATATACAATTTTAATTTTGGTGGAGCCAGATCAGTATTTTTATGAGAGTTGCTGGTGGAAGGGGGCTTTATTTTTTTTATTTCCAGAAATAATATTTTTAATTATGGGAGTTTGGATCATTTTAAATATACACTGCTTGTAGGCAGTCTGTCTCTGTCATCACAAGTAGTTACAAAAAATAGCATGATAAATGTATTCTTCAATAAATATGCACACATCAAGAAAGTGATAAACAGAAGTTCACAAATTCCAGACCTATACGTCTCACAAGCACACTGAGAAAAATCATGGAGAGATTGATTGTCCAGAAGCTTTGTGCATACAAACACAACTATATTCCAAAACAAGAGCATGGTTTTTGCTCCTGGAAGATTGCCAACAACAAATCTTATTAGTTCACTTGATGTGAAAGCTAAAGCCTAGGATGCATAGGATAAAGGCAAACCCAGAGATATAATCTACTTAGTTTATGTAGAAGAGCTGGACAAATACAACCTCTTTCTTCCTAAGATCAAATCACTAAGTGTACAATGAAAAATGCTTGAACGGTCCTGAGAATATCTTTCTGGCAGAACTTTCCAGATGAGCATTGGCAGTTAACTCTCAACACCAAGGTTACCAGTGGAGTTCCTAAAGGAAGACTCTTAGGGCCACAACTATTTTTCCTAGATCCTAACATTATCAAAAATGGACTATCTTTTGATTGGAACATTTATGCGATGACACCAAGTTATTTGCTAACCCATTAAAACACAATCATGGGCTACATCCTGATCTTGAATTGGTAAATGAGTGGTTGTGGAAAATATGGTTGGAAATATTGCTACATCCTCTCAAAACTGGCAAGTGTAAAATTCTATATCTCAGGAGAAATAATCCATCGTACAGATACACCATAGGGGATCTGTCACACAAGGCAACAGAATGACCTTGAAATTGTTATGAATGTTTATTCCCACAATTTGAAATGTGAGTCAAATTGCATTGGACACAAAACAGGCCAACACCACCATGTACTTAATTACAAAAGCTTTATCCACTTTGTAAGCGCATAGAACAAAAAAAATCCACACTTGTAAATCACGCCTGTGTAGGAACATGCAAATACGGAAAGGTCCTCAATACTGAAATGACATACTGCTTCTAGAGAAAGTTTGCATATTTCTCGCAAAAATATTGTTAATTGTCATATGAAGAAAGGTGTTGCGAGATGTGTCTTTTGATGGAAAAAGTGAAAATAAGTGATCAACAAGATCCTGCGTAATGACGAAGGCCTTTTTGACCAGAATTATATGACTGACGTTTGCTGTCCAGGAGATGGCACGCCGATGGTTGTGATGCCTTAGTTTTGACCATCTTATCTTCCTCAGAGCTGAAGGACTGAAAGTCAGTCAAGAACATTAGCAAGATCCTGAATGGGCTCTACAATGTACCCAAATTTGATTTACTATTTACAAGTTACAGATTAGGCTCTTAGAAGACATAATATGAAGCCAAGAAAGAGTGACAAGAAGAGTCATCAATCACATTTTATCATAGTCACAGTATATCAAGTTGAAAATGAGTGGAATGCTCTTCCTGTAAGCTGTGTTAACAAGGGGAACTTTAATGCCCTTATAAATAGTTATTGATCATTGTTGCTATGGAGTATAATAATTAATGAAGGAAGAAGTGAGGTGATAAATGATTTGACTTATTGGTGATAACTATGATTTTGATAATGTGATAACTATGATAAATTTCATACTTTAATTCTACAATCTGTGTATATCAGCTTGTTTGCTGCTACTATTATTTTAAAAAAAAATTAATTAGCACTTTTAACATTTGTCATTGAATTCAAGTTTAACATTTCACTCACATCAGTATTTTAAAAAAGAAACAAAAAAGTGTGTTCAGTCAATTTCAAAAGTCTTTAGAAAACTGCAATTATTTATTATTGTATAATCAATGAGACAGGATATTACAAGAGGAGGAAAGCACCATTTTCATACCATTCTCCTCATTGTCATTAAGCCTGTTTACTAGATTTTATAAAATACTAAAGTAACAGTGAACACAGTGAGCCGTACAGTGTTAGCCTCTTTGTGCCTCATAATATAGAACTTTAGCTTCAGAGAAAAGGCAAAGGTGAGCTCTGCCTATACCAAGTGCTTTAATCAAAACACCCAAGTACTCCAACATGCACAAATTACATCCACCATAGACTTTTAATTAATCTGTGGATATAAAATTATTAATATTAGATACAAAGCATTCCTGAAATTTTAATTAATTTCTTTAAATTTATAAAAATTGGACATTAAAGTGAAATGGCATTCATGAAAATAAAATTCTTTGCATCAATTATAGTTTTCAATTGCACGTTAAAAATAAACTTCCTTGCAGCCTGATAATTTTAGCTCTTTATCTTTAAGAATTAATAATAAACAGTGAAATTTTTCTGTTTGTTCTACAAGTTTCATGAGTTTGCAAAATAATATTGAGACCATTTCTGTAATTCATGGTTTTCTTTTCTATGGAATAGAAAAACAAATTTTACAGAAGTAATTTATGACCTTTTTATTACAAAACAAATTTAAGACACAGAATAAATACTTAATATGAAAACACAAAAGACATGTCATACTATCACTTATTTCTTACTAACATAGTTGGAGACTTACGGAAAGCAGACGTTTGATTTCACTATCAATAACATCAGTTGTGCCAGGACTCAGATCATTTACAGCTACAAAGCCAGCGTTGCTGGGGTCAGCATGAGTCCGCAACCCCACACGTTCCGACATTCCCCACTCGCGTACCATGTGGGTGGCAATCGAAGTAGCTTGTTTCAGGTCTGAGGATGCACCTGATGTGATGCGATCAGGACCAAAAACAAGTTCTTCGGCTGCACGACCACCCATCATTGTGTCCATCATGGCAAGAAGTTGGGCTTTTGTTACATGGTATCGTTCCTTTTCAGGAATATACGCTGTCTGTAAAGAAGAACAGTAAAATAAAATTAAAATAAAATAGTGTGTATACACAGTTGGAACAGTAACACTTCTAAGCAATGGATTTGAAGGTTCTATTAAAAATATTTCAGGCTTCGCAGAATAGTTTAGTAGTATTTTCAAAAAAACATTAAAAAGCTTGACCGAAAAGGGTGCTATCCTTCTCATTAAAGATAAAATGTCAGATGAAAAATCTGTTCCAACATCATTCATATATAACACTAATGGCACTTCAATTTTCTTTGAATGTACAATTCAATTTCAATTTATTTTTCTTTGAAACAGTTTTATTAAAATTGATTTTACATTTACTAGAAATGTGTGTTATAGACAATAAATGAATGTCACATTCGGAAAAAAAAAATATTTTTTTCTTCTCAGTTTAATTCAGTTTTCATTTTTAATCTCTTCACCACTCAAAATTTTTTAATTGAAAATTATTTTCAGTTTAAAACTACTTTTTTCATTAAACTTGGTTGAAAAATTGTAATTCCAAATAAGGAAAGTGTCTCTTTTCAGTGAATCACCATATTTAATGGTTTTCAGGGTAAATGCTTGAATTATGAAACATAAAACATTGTAGCAAATTTTTATTTGGCTTTTTCTGCCTGTTTTGATGTAAATTTCTTTTCAGGGAGTTTTTGACTATACAAGTACATTCATTTTTCAAAATATTCAAATCTCCTTCTTCCCTTGAATAAAACAACACTTCTTCACAGCCCGACTAGTATGACGACAGCCGAACGATGGGACGGGACACTACGAGTGAGTGCCTGACCGAAAGGGCCGTGTGAGTACGAGCCGGGGGCGTGAAAAACAATATCGCGAAGAGACCCGTCAACGCCCGGGCGCGTTCCCGCCGCCGCCGCCCGCCCCAAGCGACGCTGAGGAGTCGCCGGTCAACGCGCGCCGCTGGCCTAATCCCGGGCCGCCGCCGCGACCGCCGAGGGGCCGCCACAAAGGGACCTGCGGCAAGCAACGACCGTAGCTGCCCGCCGCCAGACCTGCCGGGCGCTGGGATGCCCGAACGCCGCATCTGTGAGCTGGATCACGACCGCCCGGGAGGGCGAAGACACCGGAGCTAAGATGAACTCTGGCCATACCGGCCTTTTCTAAGTTAAGATTAGTTTGAAGTTAATTGTATGTTTGTTTATGTTACTGGGCTTCACCCGCACCAATTTCAAAAGTGATTAAAGTAGTATTATGAAAATGCCTAAGTCTTTCTCTCTAGTAGTTAGGCAATCACGCATGCCTCCCTCTAGGGAATCTGCCGACAAAGCAGCCGGGCAAAGCTGAATCGCCGAAGGAATCAGGTAATCGGGTGAGTCGGTGGTTACAGTAATAATATTACTAATTACCAGGAGTTGGATTTTTATGCAATTGCATATTTCTTCTGCTTAGTCATTGAAGACCTGAGTTCTGTTTTCTTTCCAAATGAGTCCCTAGTAGCTTATTTTGAAGTTTTATTTTGAATAATGTGGCATGTTTTAAGAACAACAATGCATAAAATTGCAAATTTCAAGGATGATTTATTATTTCCCTTATTTGACTTTTTCATTCTGTAGGTGAAAATCTGTTAATAGTGAATATAAGTTATTTAGATAATGACTTTTCTTGAATTAATTTCTTTTTCTTTTATTCCCTTGAATACTAACCCCTTGTTGCAAAGGAATGATTTACAGAATTGAGTAATTGTCATGTAAACAAACTGTGCCTTTAATCACAGCCCTGTTTCTTGCTTAACAGAAAGAGGAGCCCTTCACATACTTCATATATCAATTTTGTAGAATCAGTCGCTACTTATCTACTACACTCTTATCACTTCTCTTCCTCATCTTGCCTCAAGCATACGATCAGTTGTAAGCTGTTTGTTTGCCAGCACAAACCTAACTTCACATAAGATATGCCCAAAAGTGCTTCATTGCGTAGCTCCAAACTACAACTTACATCTCACAATGTAATTTAATCCAAAAATATTTTTTATTTATTTCAGTAGGTATTTCTGTTATCTTTAATATGAAGTAGAAGGAATTGGGAAGAGGAAGTCACTCGATAATGTGCGTGTGCTGGTGAGGAGTAATAATAGATGAGCAATGAGCAATAAGAACAAGGGCACAGTCACAATGCACTCATTTATATTCCTATTTGTAAGTACTTTTTAAAATTGCGTAACAGTGCCACAAGCTCATTTGGCATTGGACGCAAGGAGTAATTCTTATTGAACATACGTCAGTCTTGCATCACGTTAAGTCAGTAGTAGCCTTCTCTCCCTATAGGCCAGGAGCTCAGTGCCTATAGTATCTGGAGTTCATACACAGTCACCCATCCGGGAACCCATGGTGACTCGAGCTATGTGACTTCATTGAGCTTGGTTAAGAAGCTCAGCTATCAGCTCAGGTACACTAAGCATGGTTCCTGTAGAATATTCCAACTCAAATTTTCAATTTGGTTTTGATGTTTTGAACACTACATAGTAAACTTTTGAAGCAAGTCAGTGTGTTCAGCTTCTCAATGACTTAAACGTGAAAATGTTAAGTCTTCATCAAAGTAGTTTTTAATTCATGGGATTTGAGGATGAGGATCAGAGAAAGGCTGTACCCTGCGATTCTGAATTGTTTTTCCATTCACAGATTGTTGATTAACTTCTTTGATTAAATAAATGCTTCTGATAAATTCAATTAGAACAATTCACGAAAATGTAATGAATGTAGTATGTAGTACCTCTGATAGTTGCATATCTTCAAGAAAGCCAAAAAAATGGCTTGTTTTATGTATGAAAGTACGCTTGGGATATAAATTACACTTACATGTCCAAGAGAAGGCCCTCTGGGTATAATGGTGACTTTATGCAAAGGGTGAGAATCCTTGGTGTAATATGCCACTACAGCATGCCCTCCTTCATGGTATGCAGTAATTGTATTTGCCTCTTCGTCTGGAATTCGAGACTTACGCTCGGGACCTAAAAACAAAACAGATATTAATTGCACACTGCCAGTTGTATCACAGATCTAAATGCACACCAGAGTAACTTGTTAACTCACCCATGAGAACCTTATCTCTTGCATTTTCTAAATGTTTCATGGTAACTGAATCAGCACCATCAATAGCAGCTCTCAAAGCAGCTTGATTCACCATGTTTTCTAAGTCAGCTCCAGTAAAACCAGTTGTACCTCTTGCTAACATCTCCACATCAACATCTTTGGATAGAACTCGACCAAGGTACAGATCTAAAATCTCCTTCCGCCCAGTGTAATCTGGTGTTGGAACCTATGCCCAAAAGAACAACCATTGCATATTTAATTATAAACACATTACATGTACAAATTGGGTGCTTTATACTGTATTCCTCCATATAATGTGATCAGTTTGAGATACAGAAATGGGGTTTTCATTACATTGGATTTGAGTGTCAGGATCAGAAAATGCTGTGTTCTGCTTTTCTTAACTGTTTTTCCGTTCATACATGGCTGTTTCAATTCTTCATCAATAAAATAAATTCTACTGTTAAGTCCATTCACAATAATTAAGAAAAAAGCAAGTAGTATGTTACATATTACCAACGAGATCTTGTTTTACACTTCTAAAAATTAATGCAAAAAACGAATTTTACATAATCTCTGGCTTCCAGTGGAGGTATTTACTATCAAGATCACATATTACTCATTAACCAGCAAATTCTTGATACAAATATCTTCATTAAAAGCCCAAAAGTACAATTTCATATTGTTTATCGGAACGATTTACACAATGTTAATAGTAGTAACAACAACAATAATTATATAAATAATATAATAATAATAATAATATTAATAACAATAATAATTGTAATAGTAACAATGGTGACAATTATAAGGCTTTACTTCGAGGTGGGGCAACTCCACATGAAGGCGCAATGATTTCTTTCGAGTTTTTAGGCCAAAATTGTACTTTCACGATGAAATGGACTAGTTCTGCTACTACAGTTCGGAATCAACTTCCGGGCAGCGGCCATTAGTCTCCGCGATTAAGATGAAATACATATTTCGTGGTTACCGAAAGCGCCATTAATAAAAGACAAGTTATTACTATTATTTATAACATGGACACAAAACATATAATTTTATAAACTGCGATGGACTAAGTTCTTAACATTTTCGATGCAATCAGTGCTGAATAGTTGGGCCCAAACATGGAGAAAAGTGGGGCAAGGGTCTACCTTCAAGAGATTCTTTAAAACTTTACATTATTATTTTTATGATTTCTTGACGCCAGCCAATTCTGGTTGCCTATCTGAATTCCTGGCGCAGACGTTCTCCTCAAAACCTAATAAAACCATTATCAGACACCAATAAGAAAGATTACAATATTCCACAATAACATAGTGGGAGAAATTTCGCCAATTTTGCGTAGGTCCATGGTAGAAATAATTATTTCCACCAGCACAGGTCCAGATAAATGACATTCTAGTCTCTGATGACCTTCACTCTGGTCTGATCACGCCAAGGAACACACAGAATGCTTCCATGAAAGATGTTAGGAATTCTTTGACTCTCAAATAGAGTAAGAAATTTATTTTTAACAAAATAAAAACATTCTGAGATGAAATTACTCCTGAAGAAGACGGGGAAAATTCTCGAAATGTATAGATGGAAAGACATTTAAAATTAATACACTTTAATAAATATGGTTCAAACCAAATTTAGCGAAAATGTGATGTTTTATGTTTAATGTGGGCGAGTGTGTGTTTAATCATTTAAAAAAAATTATTGTCTAAGAATGTCAGGACAAAAACACCATAAAATAAATGACTTTGCTAAAATAGCGCGAATAATATGTTTCTTGCTTGGCATTTCGTGATGGCGTCATCCACTGTATCATAGCAACCACCAATAGCAGTTACGTTTCACATTCGTCACTACCCGGTTGGAATCAAAGAAAGTGCTACTCTCCAGTTTATGTCAGAAGAAAACTATTGAACGTTTTGTATTCATTAGTGCGAAGTCAATTATTCGCGTTGTTAGTTTATTACTGATTTGTTATTGTTCATTGACCGTCATGCTTTAGTTTTCTATTCTCGTTTCATGACTTATAATCGTGTGAACAAGTGTGGGGTCAAATTACGAAGTACTGAACGCGCCAAAAACGACCACAATTGATTAGCACTCTCACATTGCCATTCAGCAATGCCTAGTTGTTGACAATACGCATTTAAACGCTACTGCGGTTGAAGTCACTGGAGTATTGTTGTCCTGGACACACTTGACAGGTAAGTTATTTGAATCCTACAGAGGCGTAGGTTCCATGTATGCGGGCGTTTATTCAATACACTAGAGTTTTCGAGTGTGAAGATCTAATAGTGCTAATCACATTAGAATTCTCATTGCAAATCAAACGAGAGGCGTTTTTATAATCCTTATTTTTCGACAATCATGGTATTGAATCGGACAATAGAAGCGTTTGGGAACACTGTATAGCATAGGGCACTGAGCTACAGCCCCTCGCCCTTGCCCGCCGCTGAATTTTTCAGCGGCATCGCCCCTCGCAAAATTCGAGCCTTTAGAATGCTACTTCGCATAGCACACATTCAGGTTCGTGTGTTTTCGGGAATGTACTTCCGTAGAACTCAGATGCAATGTGATCCGAGTATCACGTCAGCGCAACCAGTTGCCTGTCGAGACAGGCTGTCAAACGTACGTAAAATTAATTTTTAAATGCATAAATATTTTAATAATTCCAATGTTCTGAGACTCTGTGACGTGTATTAACTTTATGATTGTTGCCGTGACGTGTATTAACTTTATGATTGTTGCCTCGTTATATTCATGTATTGTTCATTTAACTTCCTTTTCACTATTTTTTTTATAGCTACACCAGTTCCATTCATTATACTGAAATCATTGGCAAAATGGGGGGGTTGCACCCTGAAAATCTTCAAACGGGTCGGTAGCTTTACGTAAAAAGTCATTTAATTTCTATAAATACTATATTAAGCCCCTGATAAGAAAAACGTATACCACAGATATGTTTAATTAGTCCAAATGTCGCTAACATTAAGTTTAGTGTATAAGGGAGAGCAGAAATGATGTTGCCTTCCTCTTATTTTACGGTAACTTCACTATATACGCACAATTTTTTGAGTTCTATATAGTTATTACATCTATAAAGTTATTCAAATAATAGTCCTCCATGTTCGCGCGGCAGTAAGTCGATTCATTCACGTAAGATATGAAAAGAGATAACAGCCAAAATATGTGGTTGATTTTTCTTTGCAAAATTTTAATTACACGGGAAGGAATATTTCCTTATGAATTCAAGCCAAAACACTGCTAACTGTTCATAATCCAACTTAATATAGAATTTGACTTAGGGTCAGGACAATAGAGCTCAAGAAAACTAACATAAAAACAGTTTGAGATACTAGTGGATTAACTCAATGGGTGAAAACCAGAACGGTACAAGTGACATTTTATATATTCTGAGCCATCTGTTTAAGTCAATATCACTGTAAAGTCGTGTTGCTTTGTTTCATCATTAAAACCATGGCATTTCAATTGTTCATTAAAACCACGAAAATACAGTGCCACTGAAATATAACCTAAATTAAACGCATTTTTTCTGAGAATTTATAAAATGTCACTTACGCCGCTCTGGTGTTCACCTATTCAAATGTTTTGGCGTTAAATTAATAAATAGGGCATGCCCGACGGTATATCATGTACCTGACGGCATCGCTAAACGAGGCAGGAAGCAAATCGCGAGCGCCATCATTTATTTCCTTAATAGGTACGTTGATGCTATTACAAAATTCACACGTTAGCCCACCGCATGTGAAATGAATGCGAATCATTCCAACGTACTACTAATCGATTGAATTTGGTTGGGCATCAATTAAAGTAAATACAAAAAACAAAAACACAGTTCACGAGTCTGAATAGACAGGCATTATATCGCGTAGAGTGGAATATTGACCCAGTCACATGAAGTTAGTCAAGTGAGGGATCAGAGATATCCCTTCTTCCTTTCTCTACGCGTCGTAATTCCAGCAATACGTCTTGTGAAAATTTACACGTCGACCTCCAATTGCTTGAAGAAACAAGTATACATGCAACTACGTTTTGTGGGGTCATCTAGCCTACACCAAGTATTTCAGCAGTGACTCGTCGTTGTGTTGCGAAACGTAGGCACTGAGAATACACGTGTTGGGCGTCCTAGACATCAGGTTCGCACACTGGACAAGGTGGAGAATCATTCAGTTTGAACCCGTGGAGGTAGGCTCTGAAGCAACCATGCCCCGTTAGAAGCTACGTGAGGGAAAAATTTACCCCGCCGTGCTTTCGACTGATTACGATTTAACTGTAGGAATCAGTCGGTATATCCATCTTCCTTGGAGGACGTGTCCCATCGCTGTTGCCGTTCTAATTGTTCCGAGCCGTTCTGCTCATCTCTTTTGTCGTAACGCCTCTGACGTTCACGGGCCATTATGTCTATTGTGATCATCTCAGCTATGATGCAAACTGCTTTATTGAATTGACTTGAATTGAAATGAATGCCTTATTTTACGTGGCGAGACTCAGGCCATGAGGGCTGCTCTTTCGTCTGACCACGCAAATTTCGCCACGCTTCTTTCACCTACTAGCAGAGAAAGGAGGTATTTCTTGGGAGAGAAACAGGCGATTTGAATTTTGCTCAGAGGCTTCATTTAGGCTTGATCTTTCACATGCAAGTAAATCTACTAACATGGGACAGACGGCTTTACTTCCCCTCCGAAGAACGGCGTACGAAGGATTTTTTGCCCTTAAAAATCCACAGCTTCGATCGATTCGTTTGAACCCGCCAACTTGGATATAACAATTCGATACGCTAACCGTTATGCCAGCGCCGCGCTTTATTGGAGACAGTGCGGAACGCACATGCAACCCTGGGTGCAGATAGCCGATGTAATGAAGCCATGCCTTTTACATAGCTCTTCGTAGAGTTGGCCCAAACTGGTGAGCCGTAGAGCAGAACTGACGTGACGACCGAGGCAAGCAGCTTTCTTTTCATGATTAGGACGTCCAGTGTTCGGCATTAACATAGTCAACGCAGCATTCACCATCGTTGCTTTTTTGCTGGCATAGTCCAAGTGGTCTAAAGGACAAGCCCGTGTCAATGCCGAGGTATTTTATCGCAAGTCATGATGAAATTTTGTGATGACCGACTGATAGTGATTCTCTCTTCTTTCTGCTTGTGACAGCACTTCTGTCGTACGTTCTGCAAGCTGCAATCCTGCGAAATCCAGGCAACGACGG